TCCCTCTCGCTGCCCACCAGCAGCTCCTGCCCATCTCCACCTGCCGTGGAGCTGACCAATACTGGGACTAATGAACTGACACTTTTAGCTCCATGCTGCTGGTGAATGCTGGGGGCAACGGGGCCGGGCCAGGACTTAACCCAGCGCAGCATCCCCTGGCAAGATCTCAGCACCCCCGTTGCTTGTTCTGCTTGGAAATCCACCCCCTGCCCCCCCATTAACCCTTTGCTTATTTACTCAGCGCCGTGGAGCTGACCAATACTGGGACTAATGAACTGACACTTTTAGCTCCATGCTGCTGGTGAATGCTGGGGGCAACGGGGCCGGGCCAGGACTTAACCCAGCGCAGCATCCCCTGGCAAGATCTCAGCACCCCCGTTGCTTGTTCTGCTTGGAAATCCACCCCCTGCCCCCCCATTAACCCTTTGCTTATTTACTCAGCGGTCCTTGCTAGTCGAACCAAGGCCTGTCTGGAATGTGGGGGGGAGAGATCCCTTGTCAGTCTTAAACCTTGTCCAGGGACAGAGGACCAGGGCCCTTGGAGTGAGGGTGTGGAAATCAACCGCCTGCCTGCCCTCCTCCCCCGCTCCTCCAACCACGATATTACGGGTACTTGCTTTGGGGCGGATCGGCGACGGGAAGAACCCGGCGGAGCATCTTCTGCATCCAGTCCAGCTGTACTATATCTGGGACCTCACCCTACCCCATGGCCTGTCATCCCCACACACCACAAGAGCACTGAAATCAACTAACCTACCTGGGGAGGGGGTGGGACGCCCGGAGATGGAAGCCGCCTCTGTCATGCATTCCCCTACCCCCCTCCTGTTGTCTTTAAAAAGTAGCCTTTTTTTCTATCAAATAACCTCAACAACTTTTTTATTTTATTTTTTTTTCTTTGAAATAAGAGGTGGAGTTGAAGTCTATTTGAACTGACTTTATATTATGCATAAATATTTATATTTTATCTAAACTGCGCTGTAACAAACTTTTTTTTGGATTTTTTTTTAAATATTTTGGATCTGTCAGGTTTTTTGTTTTTTTTTTTGTTTGTTTTGTTTTTGTGTTTTTTGTCATGGGAAGGTTTGAGTCTCTAATGTTGTGGTGGTGTTTAATTTTTAATGTTTTTTTTCCTGGTAAGATGCCCTGAAGGGTTAGACCCCCACTCTCCTTCTTAGCCCCTGCGCCTCCTCTCCTTCCCCCCCCCAAATTAATCCAGATGTGTCCGAAAGATACCCATCTACTTCTCTTCTACTGGGGATGCACCAGAGTGTAGAAATCAATTCTGGACGGAGTAAGAGGAATCTTTGGATGTGGAATATATTTTATTTTTTAACCCTTAATGAGTTGGCTTTGCAAATTACTTTTTTTTT